CACAAAGCGCACACTCATACACACTCATACACAATAGAAGCAAAAAATAATCATTATTATGGTGAAGATAATAATAATAATAATAATAATAATAATAATAATAATAATAATGAAAATATTAATAATAACATTATGATAATTATAACAGTGATAACAATCATCTTCATAAGCAGGCCTGAGGCGATTATGCTTACATCAATTTTTATTCCAGGGTTTTTTGTTACCTTACCGTTAAATCTTTGGAAAATGTAAATTTATATTTCTCTTTTCTCTCCTCAGTGCCATTGGCGGAGACGACCTCACTGTAACGATAGCCTACCTCCTCATTGTCTTTGGGATCATCCTCATCATCGTCACCTTCATCGGCTGCTGTGGTGCTGTTCGGGAAAATACGTGCATGCTCATCGCTGTAAGTAATGTTTAAAAATTACACTTTCTTTTGTATTTACAACGTGAACACTGTTGTTATTGTTTTCATGATTATTGCGTTGTAATGCCCGTTTTTATGTTTTTTGGCAGGTGTTTTATTAGTTAATTTAGCTGTTTTTTAAAAATGTTCTAGTTATTTTTTACTGCGCTGTTATTGTTGTTATTGCTGCTGTTAATGTTGTTGTAACTGTTGTTGTTGTGTTTGTGACTGATGGGTTTAGGGGTCACGGGGCTTCTTGCTGCTCTAGTTTTTGCCCCCGTCGCACCTATCCACGACCCCGAGAAGGTGTTTCTCGCCAAGGCCACCGCCTCCCTCTGGTAACGTTTGAGGAAGTCCAGTCTCCTGATGTGCTCCCCGATTAATAACTGTCTCCTTTTTCGATAGCCGGACACCCATGAAGCCAGTGTCTCTGGTCCTGGTCGTCTTTCTTGCACAATAGACACAGTGGAACTGTTGCTTAGTTGATCCTCTTCCTGTTGATAGACTCACATCTCCCTTGCCTCCAACCGTACTAACATTATCCCTCTTCTTTGAAGCATATCAAGGAAGTCAAGAATGGAAGGAAGTAGTACTTGTGCAATCTACTTCCTCTAGGTTTATCACTCAGACAAAAGTGTAACGTGCACGTTGTTTTAAGATCACCTGTCAAGACGCTAAAGACCCTAGAGGACAGAAACAAAGGGTGTTGACAGTTGGGCAGATTTAAGCCGGGTGGGAAGAGTCAGGTCGCTGAGGGATCATGTCTCCGCCTTCTCTCTGTACAGAGTATACTCCGTATATATATCTTCTTTGATCTCTCATGCATAGTGGCTTCTTGTGTGACTCTTTTTATTGTAGCACAGTCACTGATGTATGAATGGGGCGCTCTGGGCACGTTGCGGCCGCAGCCTCGTCGCGGCTTTATCAACCAGTCCGTTCTTGGGAATGATGTGACCCCGGATTTTCTGGATCGTCCATCAGAGACGGAGATGTCCGAGTCGACTCCTTAGGATATCGAGTGAGGGGGCGGTGCTGAGCAGGCCAGGCATAGCAACTGAATGTCGATGAACACAACGCCGCATTTTTCCTCGGTCCAGTCGATTGCCATCTCAATAATCCTCACCCCGTCTTCAAACGAGCATGTGTTCTTGGCTCATCTCTCCTTGAGCAAGCCAACAAACGTAGGAAAGGATGGGTCAACAGAGACAACTGACATCGTTCTCTTTATGGTGTTTGTCTTTAACACATCAGACTCACAGACATCAAACCAATGGATGAAAAAGATAACAATCAACAACAACAAAAAAGCAACAACCCCCAAACAAATAAAAGAAAAACACAAAAGGCACTAACAAACAAACCAATATAACCCCCCTTCCCCAAACCCCCCCCCCCCCTCACACCCAACAACAACAAAACAAACAACAACAAACAAACAAACAACAACCCCCTGCCGATATCGTCACCAGAGATACGGAGTCTCCATGTCTCTACCCGTCAGTCCGACCCCCACTCCCCTCCTCCTCTCCCCCATTCCCAATTTCATCCACGACCTCAGCATCACGAACCATGTCGGCTCCAAGCCGCGAACCCAACATCTCAACACGCCTCATGCTGTGTTTTTAAAAGACGCGGGTCATAGCCCGCTTTTGACCCCTCCTGCTTCCTCTCATTGCCGGAGACATCGAATCGAACACAGATCTGAATCACACACAGTCTGCAACGTCTGTGACCGGACAGAACGACCGCTACAAACCCCTTTCATGTGCGGCGCTGCCGACGGTAACAAGAAAAGTCATTGGAACTGCAGCGACATCCCGAGATACCCCGGGAGGAGGAAAAGGCTATGCAACAAACAAAACCCAACACCCGTCTCCAACACCCGCACTGTTGTTGTTGTTGTTGTTGTTGTTGTTGTTGTTGTTGTTGTTGTTGTTGTTGCTGCTGTTGTTGTTGTTGTTGTTGATGCTGCTGTTGTTGTTGTTATTTTTGTTGTTGTTGTTGTTATTTTTGTTGTTTTTGTTTTTCTACTTATTCCTCAAGCGCCTATTTTTGCCCCATTATTAAAGCGACTGACTGAGTAAACCTTGTAAAACCCCACCGAAAAATAGGGTATTGCTGTTGAAGAGAGTAGGGAAGGGACATAACCCAACAAATAGTTCTAATGTAATGGCTGGTTTGTCTCTCTTCCTCTTCAAAGAGAGAAGGGGATTGGGATAATGGGAAGAGAAGAGAAAGTAGGGGATTGGGGTTAAGGAGGAGTTGGAGTGAAGAGGAAGGGTGTAGAGGTGAAAGGCAAGTGGAGAAAAGGAGATGAGAGGAAAGGAGGCGAGGATATAATATAGGTACAGCAGGTTATAAAGTGGTTATGTAATGGCTGGTTTCCATCTATGGCTGCAACTGGTGGTTGGACATTGTCTTCAAACGTATATTATGTAGATCTATCAATCTTTAAAATAATGAACTGTTAATAAAATATGTTGTTGTAAACATCGAGACTCATGTACGGAACAGGAATGCGTCTCTTCTCCTACGCCTTCTTCAAAGTCCAACCAAAGAGCACGAAACAATCTCGAGTCAGGCAATTAAATGGTGCATTGATTACCGTCGTGTATAGATTGATCATTAAATTCGAAAATGACATAAGAAAAAACAGTATGCAATAAATTAAGAGAAAATAGCCATGGCCTGTGTCTGAATATATAAGCCTTTTTTAAAAAACAATTCAATGATATAAACAAGATTGTTTGTTAATAAATGTGTGTGTGCGTGCGTGTGTGTGTGTGTGTGTGTGTGTGTGTGTGTGTGTGTGTGTGTGTGTGTGTGTGTGTGTGTGTGTGTGTATGTATGTATGTATGTATGTATGTATGTATGTATGTATGTATGTATGTATGTATGTATGTATGTATGTATGTATGTATGTATGTATGTATGTATGTATGTATGTATGTATGTATGTATGTATGTATGTATGTGTGTGTGTGTGTGTGTGTGTGTATGTATGTATGTATGTATGTATGTATGTATGTATGTATGTATGTATGTATGTGTGTGTGTGAGCATATGTGTATGTGTGTGTTTGTGTGTATGAGTGAATGTTTGAATGAATGTATTTGTGTTCGTGTTTACATACGTTTGTCCTACAATGTAGTAAAGCTCGTATGGTTACGTTACGTACTTCTGTGACGTCTTTTACACATGTTATCCTAAATTTTTATTACTGCCCGTGTACATCGAAAACAACCTACTACAGTTTTTCCCTACATCTAGTCTCCCTGTTTTTCTCTGACCCACTGTCTGTACATGCGGCTCTCGCATGAGTATTTGTACTTTGTACGTGGGTCAATCAGCCTTTCGCTTACACTTGTGTTCTTGATGTCTGCGTTTTCAAAACGTCCAACACCACCCCTGCCAAAAGCAAAACAAAACAAGCCCAAAAAGAATTAGTAAAAAATCTGTCTGCCGTTTCGTCTATTACTTTTCTGTCTGGTCCAATGTCTGCGTAAGAATGTGTGTGGGCGAATATAATATTACGGAGCTCTTTGTTTGTGCGATACGAATAGGTCTCTGTTGTCTGATCTCGTTCTTTTCTTCTCGTTTCCGTTACCCGATTTGTTATCAGGGGTAGTCGACTGCTAGTTCTTCAATCTGCAGTGTGATTGATCTTTACCTAAGCGACCATTTCTTTTTTACTTCGTAGGGTCCATTGCTTCCAGATCTTATTCACTTCTATGAAAGTGTAATGTAAAGATACTGTGGACAACTGCATGCAAATCTCTTACTCGACTTGAAAAGCAAAAAAGAGACAAAAGAAGGTGTGGGTATTCTTCTTGGGGGATTTGTTTATCACGAAGGGTCGAAGTTTTCTCCTAAAACATCTAAATCATGTTAATGGGGGCGTAAAATACCCACATTTAAAAAGAAAAGAACAACAGCACCAACAGCAAGACAAATTGAAACAATTCATTGCCCCCTTCCTCTACTTCATTCAAGTTTATCCACCATCCCTCCTTTTTCCCCTTGCGCGAAAAATATAATCAGATTAGTTATCTGTCTATATTATCACCTTGTGCAAAGATCGAAAGAGATAAAAAGAGTTGGTTTTAAAAGAAATCTCTTCTGACTGTCCACAGTTCGCTGTCTGTCTGTTCGTCCTGATGATCGCACTCCTCGGTGTCGGTGTGTGGGCGTATCTCAAGAGTGACGATGTGGACGCCCATACGGTAAGTCATCAACAGCAACAAAAGCGGGGATAACAGCAGCAGCAGCAGCAGCAGCAACAACAACAACAACAACAACAACAAAAACAACAGCAGCAACAACAAATAAAACAACAGCAACAACAACAAAAACACGACCATTACGATCCTCTCTAATATCACTATTCTTATAGCAGCGCCAACACTAACAGCAGAGGAGCAGCAACAACAAAAGCGTCCATCAAAAACAAAACAAAACAAAACAAAACAAACAGACAGAACCCCCAGCAACTAAAAAAATCGGCAACAAAAGCAACGACATAGCATGATAATAATAATAATAATAATAATAATAGAATTTGTATAGCGCATATCCCCGCTCAACTGCAGGCTCTATGCGCTTTACACTATATTATTACCCCCAGCAGACCACAGGACACTCCGAAACATTCTCAGCTTCCCGGGAAGCATACAGTGCAAGCAGCTGATTAAGCGCTCAAACACTAACAAACTGACAAGATCTTTCGCTGTCTATAGCCGGGTACCCATTCCCACCTGGGTGAAGTGAGGAAAATTCGTGTAAAGTGCCTTTCCCAAGGACACAACGTCGGGCCCCTGACGGGATTCGAACCCACGACCTTACGGTTGCGAGTCCGAGAGACTGACCACTAGGCCACCGACAAACATGAAAAAAGAAAACAGTAACGGCTGCAGTACTGCAACAAAATTCGAGACTATAACGGCAACAGCAACAACAGCACAGGCAACAGCAACAACAGAAACAACAATATTCAGGACCAAAAACAACAGCGACTGCAACAACAGATCAAGGACGAGAGCAACGAGAATGGGTTCAAATTCAAAGCGACTTCCCAAATCAGGAGCCCTCTCAGAAAACAAGGCAGTATACGCAATGCGCTAAAAAACACCACTGATTGAACAGAGTTTATCAAATGGTGAAATCTTGATCAAATGAAGAAAAGGTTGAAAGTAGTAGGCTACATTATGTAGGCCAACTAATAGCAGATATCACGCTTTCACTCATTTTTCGACTTATGAACAATTAACACTCCTATAGATCTAGTATCCCGTGTTATCAACTACACATATCATTTTCAACCAAGCCTATTGTATCTCGTGCTTAATTATGCTTCATTTCACGAAACTCCTCCGATAAGCTGCATTTATCGGTCGATGACGCCTGGGTAACACTATTAGCAGGCAATTAGACCCGTGGATAACTGAAATAACTGGTTTGACAGATCTGTGATAATTTTTTTCCTTTGATTATATCCCTTGGGCTGGTGCATGTAAACGCACCCTTTCCCATTTTCTTTGAAATCTTGGAAAAAAGGGGAAAAAGGAGAGAGAAGGGGAACAATGAGTGTGAGGAGTGTGGGGGAATGGACGTAACAGATATCAGTGAGTACCAAGGACTACATAACTTCCAACTTCAAGGGGTTTATTGCCAACGTTCTTAGTAAAAGTTTTCGAAAAAGTATTACTTGGTGTGTTTTTTTCTATCAACCGTGATCTTTGTAACTCCGTGTTTCACCTGACAGATTGTATTTCACCGAGTAAGAGAATTTAGGAGGCCTTTTTTTCTCTCTAAGGTTTGATGAACTGTAATCTATTATCCGTTCTGGTTGTTCTTTTTTTATCAACTCGTCGCTGTCACCCCCCCTCGCCCCAACGAACCATCAAACTTTTATTTCAAAAGACGTACATGTACTTTTCCTGCTGAAATTTCCTCTCAAGGATATCAAAAGTTCATTTTAATATTGAAATGACTTTTCCGTCCGAAATCTTTACCCTACTTTCTAGTCACGGGACACAAGATGCATTAAAATAGTAACCTATTTTCCAGCGCATATCTTAGTTTATCCTTCAT